CTTACGATATAGCAGGATGTAACAAATCAGTGATATTGATGTTACTTTTCCTAGTTAACCTCGTCTACAACCCATGTCTGTACCCTTGCGCTGGTTTTTACTTCCTACCGAGAAATCCTATTACAAGCTGGTCTGGACAACTATACCAAAAAAGAGCTCATTCATAACTTCTTGAGCCTCAGATTTAAAAATAAAAAGAATAAATAAAACCAAAAAATTATATCACTGATCCTCTTTATTATATTTTGTAACTCAACTTTATTACTAACAAATTGGTTCTTCTGAATTTCCTCTATTCTTTCAACTAACTTCTCATTAGTTATCTCACTACTGAATTGTCTTCATTAACCTACATAAGCGCAGGTGTAAAGTGTTCTGATATTAAAAATGTTTGGGTAAACATACTTACTTACTTACTTTCGCCTGTTACCCCCAATGGAGCATAGGCCGCCCACCAGTTTCCTCCAACCAACTCTGTCCTGGGCTTCCCTCTCCAGTTCTGTCCAATGTTTGTTCATTCCTCTTATATCTTTCTCTATTTCTCGGCGTAGTGTGTTCCTTGGCCTTCCTCTTTTCCTTTTGCCTTGAGGGTTCCATGTGAGGGCTTGTCTAGTGACGCAGTTGGGTGCTTTTCGTAGTGTATGTCCTATCCATTTCCACCGCTTCCTCCTGATTTCCTCCTCCATTGGAATCTGACTTGTTCTCTCCCACAGTTCGTTGTTGCTGATGGTGTCTGGCCAACGAATACGAAGTATTTTGCGTAAACATACCTTTGTTTTATCCGTAAACGTATGTGCGAAGCCGTTGTTCGGCTTTGAACATGAATATTTTCTGTTCTGCTCCTCGTCCCGTTTTCTTTATTTTATGTTTTGTGCTTGATGTAACGTCAACCACCGTACTAATGACACCCCGAACGTTAGACCCCTCCGTTCAAAGAAAGAAGACGGAAGACGTTGTAGAACGCTTCTTGTCAGAATCAAAAATATACAATCAAACATGCGTATTTATACAATTATATAAAAGTCGTTAATTATTTGAACATGCTTCAAATAGTTCGTCAGGAACGATAATCATATAGTTCATCATTAATGAAATGGTTTATTATGAACAAAAATCAAATAGTTCATTAAATCCACAATATGCGTGGCTTTATTCTCGATTGACTATCCCAACACCTCCCCGGAATAAGATTTTTTTCTTGGGTCCACTTGTAGTCTTACGACTGGTTTGCGGCGGCGTTCCATTCTGGTTATGGGGTTTCGAGTTAATGTCTCCAACCTTCCCTTTTCTTCGGCATTCCGGGGCAAATGTGCAGTTGTCGGTTCTGTGATCAACTCTAGGGGTAGATTCACGCGATTATCACCCGAGCGTGCCATTCTTTGATCCCTTCGCATTTGGTTCGTGTGTCTAACACAGCTTCCGAAAGCTCCTATGATTCGATACAAAACTCTTCCTAGTCTTTGGACGACTGTTCCTGGTTCCCATTGATTTTTACCACGATATGTTTTTAGGAACACTTTATCGCCCACGTTGAAGCTGCGAATATTTTGATTTGGCCTATATCTATTCGCTCTTTTAGGGGGCAACATCGCGTTAAAAGTAGTCCGAATACGTCTTCCAAACATCGCTTCGGCTGGAGACTTCGCCTCTGGGACCATAGGGTTCGGAGTACTTCTGTAAGCCGTTAAAAACCTCGTGATTACTTGGCTAGTTGGTCCCTCATCTCCCCCTTTCAGTAAAGCTCTTTTGAAAGTGTCCACGAAGCGTTCAGCTTGTCCATTCGATTGGGGGTGGTAAGGTGGGGACCGTAGATGCGTTATGCCGTTTGAACTGCAGAATCGTGTGAATGAGTCGGCAACAAATTGTCATCCATTATCAGTTACCAAGGTTTCTGGCACTCCGAAACAACTAAATAAGGTGGACAGCTTCTGAATAGTTTCTGAGGCTGTACAATTCGGCATGCTGTATATTTCTGCCCATTTTGTATACGCATCTACAATAATTAGGAACATTTTACCTTGGATTGGGCCAGCGAAATCTGCATGAATTCTTTTCCAAGGTCCCGTAGGTTTCTGCCATTGTTGAGGCTCGCATTTCGAAGGGTTTTTCGCGGCGTTTGTACATTCGCCCAACGCTTCTGGACATACGTGATGATGCCTTTCTATAGTGGCATTTCCCGGATTTGACTCTAAAGGGTTATTGATTCTAACTCGGCAGCAGATATTGTTGATAGAATGGTCTGTTAATTTTAATGCATCTATGAGATCCAACCCCAATACATCAAGGTCTGGGTTTTTAGTTAGGTATACAGTTGCACTTGTTGTTGTCCCATATTTTGAAACAGTGCACAGTATTTCTCCAACAATATTGAACTTGCCACCAGATGCGCTGTGTGCTAGTTGCTTCGTAGGGTGAACTGTAGGTCTTCCAATTTTCTCCCAAGTTTTTGGACTGATAAGGGTGATGTCAGATGCTGTGTCAAGTTGAAGACGGATACGGTGTGAATTCATATCCAAAGTCACATACTTTCTTCTTTGGTGAATTCTTGTCTGATTATGAGACACCAATACTTTGTTTATTGACTTACCAGAACTGTATTTCTTGGAATCGACTTTCGCGGAGTAATGTCTGCGAGTTTTTGTCCTACATCGAGATTCTTTGTGACCCTTTTTGTGACATTTAGAGCAAACATAATCTTTGTATGGGCAAAACTTCTTGTAGTGCCAACCTCCACATGACCAGCATGGAGATGAGGGCTGGTTGTCTGTGCTCTTGTGATGCTTTTGTGAGACGGAATTTTTCTTTTCACTAATGGAATGCACGTATGATGAGAGGCCATTGTTTTCGACCATGGAGGTATCATGCTTCAAGTTTACTAATCTCTGGCACTCTGCAGACGTGCCTTCAAATCGTTTGCAACGGCGCTGGTGAGTGCATTCTTTTCCTTCTCTCAAATCCTTATCTTCTGAATTCGTCACCACCCTTTTCTTTCTCTTTCTAAGTTTATTTCACTAGATTATACTTCTTGAACCATATCTTCGAACCAAAATCTTCTCGATTACTGGTAATACTTCTACTACTATGAAATTTGAATTGACAACCCCAACCCTCGGTGTGCTAATGTGGTATGGCAACTTGAACTGATGTACGTAAGTACGCACGTATTGTAAGATCCATTTTGAAGGCTTTGTTTTTATGAAAATCCCTCCTGTGTATACATTTGTAATATGTCCTTATTGATTCATTCAGTTGTACATTTTGTTAATCTGTTCGATTCCATTTCGGAGATGATAACATTTGTATTTTATTATAGTCTCTATTTCTTCTGCCTTCACTGATTTTCTATGTTTCTTTCTGAACTGTATTTATGTTGTTTAAGCTGATACTTAGTTATGGCGACCGCCATATTGATTTGTTCCTCTTTTGATTGGGTTTTTTGGTTTGACTGGAATTGTGCATTTTGATTGTGAATTGAAGCACTCTCCCAGAATCGGAAACATTCTGTGTTATAAAGCAACTAAATATTATCTGTCGAACGAATCTGATCTATCCAGGAGGGAGATATAATATCATTTATTTGAATAATTGTGGAATAGCTGTGGTAATAATATTGTTTAGAACTGTAGGATTCAAACTAAGGTTTTGGATTTCAACTAGGAAAGACGCGTATCTAACCTACCTGGACAGTTATTCCATAGCTCAAACCTAAGTTTGGATCCTACACGTATGACGTTCTACATTTTAACTGACTAACTGACTAAGAGTATGACATTGATCGATGAGTGGGTTTGAATCATACAGAGAGTATAAAGTCTCTTTTATATACTACAGTGGCTGTCAGGAATGATTTGAATTTGACCGATTCGGTCTCGTGTGCTGTTACGGGTATGAGGGCGGTTGTCACTTCCCGGCTGACCACACCGTGGAAGGTTGTTTCTTGAGGGACCTGAAAAAGAAGGTAGATTAGTGTCGATCTTAGAGACCTGGGTGCGTAACCGCAGAGCACAAGGGACAACTGTTTGAGGCCGGTCACGCACGGCCTATTTATGAAGTGCTTTGTGAGTATTAGCTCCGCACTTGAAAGCCCTTATTTGGCAGCCCTTACCGCCGGAGACGGAAATCCTTGAAGTAGAGTGAGGTGTGACATTTTTAGGGTCGACCTTTTCTAACCCTTCCTTCCTTGTGAGAAGGCAGCATCGTTGCAGATGCTGGTTGTCCGAGGGAAACACCTTACTGCTATCACACCCCTCTGCAGCCAGCAGTACGACTTCGCCCTCACACCTTGATTAGCTGCATTTAGTCTCATCGTTATCCAATCGACGTGCTTGGCATGGTAGAACCTTGAGGAACATAAGTTCCATCCAATATAGCTCAGTTGGGTCATCACGATAGGCAAGCCCGACCACCACGTCAAGGTAGTCACAGTAGCTGTGGCTAACCAGTAAGAAATCTCGATACAGAAACGCTTCCGGTACTCAATTATTGAACATTGACAGTATGTATATGTACATCACCGCCTAAAGTGAACATATAGTTAACAATCTTGAAATGAAATAAAATTACCAACCAATCAAAACTGATTGATAACTTACTTTGACAAAACACTTCACGATTATGATCACATGCTGTGCCACGATCAAGAAGACGTTGACAATCCGTACATTTAAAGCATAAACGATGAAATACTTTCCCCACAGCATCAACTCTTTCATTAGCATAAACAATATCAGGACAATTTGCACAACGATTTGATGCTGAGCCAAAATTTCCACTAGACCATCGTGTACGATTATTAGTACGTGGAATATAATTTCCGCTAGTTTCCCAATTTGATGAACGTTCTTGTTGATGATGATGATAGTCATGTGATTGACTAGAATATGATCAATCACAAAAACAAAATAAACAGTGAGTGTTCAATGTTCAATTGATTTCAACAAATCACACAACAACAACAACAGCAAACACCACCAACCAATATAAGAGAGAAGAAGACTTACTTTATCATTGGACTGTGGGAATGTGTATAACCATTGACTTTAGTACAATCTCTGTAGAAATAATGAGCGGGAAAAGAAACAATGGAGATAGAAGAGTAATATACATTATATATGAAAAGATGATCTGTAAAGACGTGTAGAAGTTATTAATTTTAAAAAAAAGATAGTGAATACCATTTTACGAGATTGTTCATAACGTAGTATATGTAGCGGGACGTTTGTATGGAGGTTGGCACAATCAACAATCGACGACAAGAGTTTGAGGAGGTCAAAAGCACCGTCCCGACCGTAGCTGCTACCTTGACGTGGTGGTCGGGTTTGCCTATCGTCATGACCTAACCGAGCTATATTGGCTGGAATATATGTTCCTAAAGGTTCTACCATGCCAGGCACGTCGATTGAAGAGCGATGAGACTAAATGCAGCTACTCAAGGTCTGAGGGCGAAGTTGTACTGCTGACTGACTGTAGAGGGGTGTGACAGCAGTAAGGTGTTTGCCTCAGACAACCAGCATCTGCAGTGATACTGCCTTCTCACAAGGAAGGAAGGGTTAGAGAAGGTCGACCGTACAGATGTCACACCTCACCCTACCTCACGGATTTCCGTCTCCGGTGGTAAGGGTACCCACTAAGGGCTTTTAAACAAGAGCGAAGCTAATACTCAAAAAACTTCCCATAAAAAGGCCGTGCGTGACGAGCCTCAAGCAGTTGTCCCCTTGGCTCTGCGGTCGTTCAGATCAACGCTAATCTACCTTCCTTTTCAAGTTTCTCAAGAAACAACCTTGTGGTGGTGTTTCGTTCTCTGAGCTGGTTGTTTTGGTTGTGGAGCTTTCATTGTTCTTCTGAACAACATCATCAGCACGAACTTCAGATACAAGTTTTCTCCACCATCTCAGAAACAACCTTCCACGGTGAGGGCAGCCGGGAAGTGACAACCGCCCTCATACCCGTAACAGCACACGAGACCAAATTGGTCAAAATCAAATCCTTCTTACATCCCCGTAATATCTCTCTTAAAAAGCACCGTGTCTGTTTCGCATACTTTGGAGATTAGAAGAGAAGTGACAGAAGACAATTTAGCACTAACTTAGGTTACAGAACACACAACAAGAAATGAATGCGTGCTTGAAAACTAAGTGTACATATTACATAAAAATTCTGTAAATTTAACCAATATGAATAATAATCAGCCGTGAAAACTAGGACGTGCATTTCGTCTTGTCTGGGACTCGTCCGCTGGATATGCCTGTATCTCAAAGTTGATATTTAATCTGAGACTCTTTTTCTCCAATATTGTTGGTTTCAAACACCAATTGATACGAAAAATGATTGGTGAATACCACTTCAAGTCATACGAAACTTTAAATAACCCTAAACAGCTTAATTTTTGTTGACATGGCAAATATTTATGAGGGAGTTTCGTTCTCTAAGATGGATTGGTCAATAACAACCAATCAAGATTGAGTGTAACAGGACTAGCTACGAGTCATACGTGGAGACGTTTGAATACTTCACTTATCTACCTGAAGTTGGGGTTACCAATGATGGGATTTGACGAACAAAATAGAAAGCTACATAACCGAAAAATCCAGTTTCGACAAAGAAACTTCACCATAATCATCCACCTGGTTGGATACGAAAGTCACACACACCTCACTCCGGTAGTCTACACAGACTTTTTGATTCAGTTAAAAAGTCAATATCCTTATTAACTGATGCTATATTTTAGTTTGAGCACCCGTAAATTCCTTTCAGTCTATTCAAACACATACATCCTATATGGATGCGAAACATGGCCGTTAAGAGCAGATGTTCGTAGGTTACTAGTATTCGATCATAGATGTCTTCGAACCATTGCTCGAATATCGTGGGACAACTGAGTAAGCAATGTTGTCGTTAGGAAACGAGTACTAGGTAAGGATGGCAGATCAATAGATGAAGTAGTGAAACTCCATCGGTTGAGGTGGTTGGGACATGTGTTACTTATGCCTAACCACCGACTGCCTCGAAGAGCTATGTTTTGTGGTGTAGGAGTAGGTTGGAAGAGAGTTAGGCGCTGCCAGACCAAAACATGGCAGAAATCCATGAAGTCACTGACAAGTGGACTGAGTGATGTTGGTAGATGTAGGCTACGTGGTTGGTGTCCGCGATACGAAAGTCACCAATGGTTAGAGACCTTGAATGAAATGGCTCAAAATCGTTTGCAATGGCGCAAGTGCATCCATTCGTTGAGCTCTCTCAAATCTTAATCTTCTGGATTCGTCAGCACCTCTACCTTACTCCTTCTAAATTTATCTCACTGAATTATACTTCTTGAATAATATCCTCGAACAATAGTCTTCTTCATTACCTTTAATACCTCTACTATCTTTATCACTATGCGATTTGATTTGACATTTGTGTTTCTGTGCTAATGTGCTATGGCAACCTGAACTTATGTACATACGTACGAAGTTCTACGTTGCAACTGACTGACTATACAAACCATCATCGCATGCTGGTCATTAGATGGCCATAAGTAATACATGTCTAAACCAACTAATAACTTCGCTTCAATATCTGATCTCTGCAAACAGTTTGTAACACGATATCATCCATATTTTTCAAGTTATTAAACACTGTTTCTTTGAACCAAGAAATATTGTTTTCAAAAAAATAAATTAACTTTAGGTAAGATTGTACAGCTTAAGTAAATAAAATTATCGAGAAGAAAGTTCTCCACTAAACTGTCTTTATTCCTTCTTCATGGCACAAATAACCGTTTACATCACTGAAAAACGTACACTTATTTAGATATCGCCATTAAATCAATTTCAAGGTGTATATTTTTCATCGAACACAGATGCAATAATGCCTAATATACTGCTGGTCAAAATACACTTTCAGTTTCAGATACTTCTCTTCAAGATACCTTTGTCACAACTACTATTCAACTACTTAAATTTTGTTAGGTATAGTGACATTTCGAACGCGAAACCTAATTTCAAGAAGTTGAAATCTCTGATATCGGATACAGTTTTGAAAAAGAGCAATATTTATTTTAGCAATTCAAAATAGTGTAGGATAATACATTTATACATTAACCAAAGTCAGTCAGTCAGTTGCAACGTAGAACTTCGTATATATGTACATAAGTTCAGGTTGCCAGACCACATTAGTACAGAGACTCAAATGTCAAATCAAATCCCACAGTGGTAGAGATTGTAGAGGCGTTAATGGTAATGAAGAAGACTAGGGTTTGAAGCATAATTCAGTGAGATAAGTTAAGAACTCGTTTCCTAACAACAGGATTGCTTACTCAGTTGTTCCAGGATATACGAGCAATGCTTCTAAGACATCTATGATCGAATACTAGTAACCTAAGAACATCTTCTACTCTTAATGGCCATGTTTCGCATCCGTATATTAGGACAGAGCGAACTGCTGCACAGTACAGCCGTCCTTTGGTTAGCGAACAGATATCTCGCCTACGCCGTAAGTGACGCAGGTTGGCAAAAGCCAATCGAGCCTTCTGTATCCGAGCTGATATTTCGTCAGTCACCAGGCAATCAGCGCTGATGAGACTACGCAGATAAGTGAATAGATCAACACGTTCGACTACTTCACTCCCTTTCACTATTTCATGTGTCATCGGCATATTCTGTCAGTAAGCGATTTTCCTGGTAGAAGGTCAACCGCTAAAAAATCTAACGAGCTTAATGTTAACTCTAAGAGAATGTCTACAACAAAGTTTAACAAGAAAGGAGAGAGTTGACAGCCCTGACGGACACCACTTGATGTAGTGAATTCCGATGACAGTTCGCGTTAAATGTACTTCTTTGGTACACCTTTCAATGACAGACACTGCCACAGAACCTCACGATCCACTGAGTCAAATGCCGCTTTCAGGTACAGGAACACAACTATTGTCGGACGTCTAAATTAACCGAAGTTGTTAGTGTTATTTTTATTTCTCATTAAGATAAAAGGTAAATTCTTTGTCTAAACATCCAGCCTTGAAAAGAGAAAGTTTAAGCCACAATTTATCGTATCCTCTACAGTTTGCACAACTAAGAACATTTGAGAATTTTACATGGATTATCAATTTCCTCAAAATTGCATAAACATTTTCCTGAAGGATATGTACTAACAAGAAACGTAAAGTGAGCAATGTTACATATCAACTACTTTAAACTAAATATTTAACAGTCAGTTTTTCAATATTTCCCATCGAATTAAACAAAATGTTTGATAAAAAAACGAGATTCATACTACTCTCAAAATTTCTGTGTCCCTTATGCTTTTATTCAAAGAAAATAAACGAAGTTGCAACTATTTTAATTTTACTGTTCTGAAATTTAGAAGAAAATTCTTTTTAATAAAACATGACCCGACCGTAGCTGCTACCTTGACGTTGCTCGTGGGACACCCGAGTGAGCAACGCTGTTATTAGGAATCGGGTGCTAGGTAAGAATGGAAGATCAATTGATGAAGTAATGAAACTTCATCAGTTGAGGTGGTTGGGACATGTGTTGCGTATACCTAACCACTGACTGCCTCGTCGAGCTTTGTTTTGTAGTGTAGGAATAGGTTGGAAAAAGTTAGGGGCGGCCAGACCAAAACATGGAACAAATACATGAAGTCATTGACGACGAGTGGAATTAGCCATGTCGGTAGTTGTCGACTACCTGGTTGGGGTCCGTGAGATGATAATAATCGATGGTTAGAGACCTTGAATGACATGGCTCAAAATCGTTCTCAATGGCGCCGGTGCATTTATTCTTTGTGTTCTCTCAAATCCTAGTCTTCTGGATTCTTCAACACCTCTACTTTTGTGTTTCTCAACTTTTCTCACTAAATCATACTTCTTGAATAATATCTCCTAATCCTAACCTCTCCGATTACTTCTAAAATACCTTTACTACCTCTTCTACTATTGGATTTGAATTGAAAATTACATCTCTGTGCTGATGTGGTATGGCGACATGAACTGATTTACTTACGTACGCACGAAGTTCTACGTTGCAACTGACTGAATGAATGAAACGTGAAATCATATTCATTAATTGTTGATGAGAATCATGGTAATTGGATATTGTAATTTAATAACCTACAAGTAAATCAAACTGATTACTATTATTTTTTCATTAAAGCTTTAAAAAATTAGTCATCTAACTGCTATTTACACAGTAGATAAACTATTCCTTTGACTTTGTGTATCAATTACATCTCAATCACTCCTTCATATCCGATCAATCAACCAATCAATCAATCAACAGCAACGTAGGACTTCGTACGTACGTACGTACATCAGTTCATGTTGCCATACCACATTAGAACAGAGAGACGCAATGGTCAATTCAAATCCCATAGTAGTAGAGGTATTAAAGGTATTAGCAGTAGTCGGAGAAATTAGGGTTAGAAAATATTATTCAAGAAGTAGAATCTAGTCAAATAAACTTAAAAACATAAAGATAAAGTGATGAAGAATTAAAAAGTTTAGGATTTAAGAGAACACAAAGAATGAATGCACCTGCGCCATCGCAAACGGTTTTGAGCCATGTCATTCAAGGTATCTCTAACCATCGATTACTAACATCTTGCAGCAAGTGAAGTCTTTCATATCCAATTTAGTCAAATAGAATCAAACTAACTGTGATCATACATAATCACTGTGATGACATAATTATCAAAATGATATGACTATTGATTATGAGAACCAAGTATGCTTGCTTTTTTAAAGTGATTAGTGCTATAAGCAGTGAGTAGACTTTATTATTCTATTACGAGTGTTTACTGCCTATTAATATCCTGTCAGCAACTTAGAAAACTTTAAATATACATGCATTTGTAAATGCTCTATTATCTTTGGATCATAAATATGTTTACGACCAATCCCAATGAAAATAATTCTATTTTGAGGAGTCAAATTTAAGTTTTTCCCAAATGATTCTGTGTGAACGCTCTTGTAAACGCTTTTTTTTTAGTGTTTATAACCAGTGAATGTTACAGGAAAGCTATAAACTCAAGACGAGAAAGTTTGAAATATTTATTGGTTACTAACTAAGAAGACTAGGAGTGATCACTTTACTTATTTGTTTCAGGATTCAGTGATAAGTTAGCCATCTTAGTCTGAGGTTATGTTAAACTTTTCACACTGAAACTTAGCAATGAATCATTTAATCACTCCATAAACTTCTTAGAATGCTACCAACAAACTATCAGTTTAGATTACATGAGTCTAAAGTTTATACACGAGGCATACTAATTATTGACCATCATGATGAAATAAACAGATAGATTATAGATGATAAATGATACTAGTATCAAAAAGCGCACATAGTGTAAGGTATGTACTGAACAATATCAATATTGACTCTTCAAATGGTGAGCTTTACAATTGCTTATTTCTACATTCAAGTTTCTTTGAATCGCTTAGTTTAGTTCTCTGGTTTTTAGCTTTGTATTGCCATTTGATTCTGTCAGAAGAACAATGGGGCGGGAGAATAAAAAGCTTTTAATTATATAGATATTTCAGAAACCTACTTACGTACGAAGTTCTACGTTGCATCTGACTATTTTCCAAAACCCTCACAAGACACAATATCACACAAATATGAGTTTGCGTTAAACAACATTGTAAGTTCTCATTTACTAAATTATTGAATAAAGTGAATGTAATAATATATTTATGAATCAGCCTACTACGAAAGTGAAGTAACTTAAAGTAGAAGATCAAGGTTTGGATTATGTCAATAATAGTCGTTATCAGAAGTAACTTATATTTGTAATCTAAGTCAACAGTTCAAATAGTTAAATACCAGTGTAAGTGAAAATAAAAAATCCACTTACCGAAGATCATAAGTACTCCTACCTAATGTACCATTAGTTGAAAAGCCATATATGTTTGGTCCATAGTTCTTTGCATAGCAACTTTTGCAGTACAAAGAACCCTTGTGGTCGTTCGCAGTAAAGCTGTCCAAACTTTTAGAACACTGACCTATAATAAAGGTCAGCCATACATCATATACTCACAGCATTTAAAGCATTGTTTATGAAATGCACGACCCATAGCCCTAACTTCCTCTGCAAAATAAACGCTCTTAGAACAAACAGGACATGATATCGGTTCAGGCCTTTTTTTCATCATCAATCAGCTGTGAAGAAAATTAGAATGTCCCATTTATTATGTTGAATTTAAATGAAACACAGACACATTGAACATAGCAATTCAAGGTTGCACATTAAATTGCACAGGTAAAACAAAACAAAAATTTCAATGATAGTAGGTAAGGAATCTTTAGTTTTTCCTCCACCTAGCACTGAAAAATACTTAAAATTTGCTTTCGGTTTGACAGAAAAAAGATAAAAAAGTGGTTGCTTTGAAAAACTTAATGGAAACTATCTAACGTACTTCAATATGAAGTGATGTCTAAGGGTTAGTTTTCATAACCACAAAGAAAAAAAAGCCTCTAAAAGCAAAAAAATTCACATTTATTTTCTCTTAAAAATCATGCTAGTGTTTATTACAGAAGTGATGATCAGAGTTTCTCAAGTAATTACCGGATGCTGGCATTTAAGTATCACCTGTCTGATGTTCAAGTAGACGAAATCCAGTTACTACACACCAATCACAGTTCATCAACTTCAGCTCAAAATATGAAGCCCTGGTGTGTTGATGGGTTTTCGTATTTGATGACTCAAAACTAGGAAATATATTATTCTCGCCGCAAACTTATATTTCGTAAAGTTGTAAGTGTAGAGTATATACATAGGCTTCCCTCTCTACTAAACACGAACCAAGATTGTCAAGACCTTTTAAATCTACGGAAATGGCGATTACCAAGCTTCGATTCTCTTTTTTCTCTTTAAATTGGGTATGACCATATTATGAAGATCAGCTTATAGTTAATTGTGTCTACGGTTGATTTCGGAGGCCAACCATTGCTGTGGTGATGGGTATCATAATCAGTTTATCAGTCCGAAAGGTGCTATCGGTGGAGAGATTTGTAATTAATTATTTCAATTTGTACATAAACTTCCGACATTTTAGTTGTTTGTACGTAATAATAACTTCTCTTGGCAGATATAATGGATGGACTGATCTAATCTGATACACAACCAACTACATGGTAAGTTGATTGTGTGAAAAAAGAATGGAGGGACATACTCATTATCCCTCGAATTTCTTGGTAAGTTTCGTTAAACTAAACCTATTTTCTGTACGGTTTTGTTCATAATTAGTGACATTCGACTGGAATAGCTTTTTACCCTCAAATGTGTAACTTTTAATACTGTATTTGGTGTCACTTTCCTCTCATAAAGAATTTGTGTCTTTCTTTAGACTACTTATCCTAAAGTGCATTTGGTGGAGGTCGGGATACTTTATCGGATACTTATACAGAGACTTCTAAGCGATCAAAGCAATATTTAGTGGCTCGAGATCTGACTCCAATGTAGTCAAGCGATCAAATATGCTTATGAAATGAGTCTTCCAATTAATTCCTATATGTTACTATTGAGCGAATTCTGTTTTTGGCATCGAAATGTGAAATACTGATTGATTTAGACCGCTTAATCCATGTGATCACATACACAAATAGATGTGAAAATAAAAGGCGAAAATGAAAATTAAAGTTAAAAAGGTTGGTGAGTCAACTCCATTTGAAGAGGCATGACTAACTACTTATGTTTAAACGGAGACAAGCTAGACGTATTCAGCAAATGACACACATACATACATAAAAACAACCATGGTAACGAGGAAGCAATTAACAAGATCAAAAGACGAGTGAAAAATATCTTGAGAAGAATAAGTATGAGCATCTGTTTGAAGGTAGAACTCAGTCTTAATGTGTTCCAACGATTTGCACTTAAAAATGACTGTACCATGTTTAGGGGTGGTCTGATATTTGAGACACACCATTTTTACAGGCAGGATCAATGGGATACAGGGAAGTTTCCAACGAGGATTTCAAAATAGGATGCGTATCCAGCGAAGTTACTGGAAGGCAGAAATTATAAATCGGGTGTGACGCCTAGAAAACTTTAAGGGATTAACTAGCAGAGTATTTGTGTAATGCAATCGTACAGTATTTTTATGGCCGATTGAAGGTGACGATTGGAGGGAGCTTAGTACAAACTATAAGCTCTTACGTTGGGTTTACGTGCCTGGCGAAAGAAGCTCTATAGCTGTTGACTTCGCAAAAGTAACTGAAAAAAACAAGAAAAATCAGCAGGCCGATCGGACATAAGGACAACGATATGGGTAGCCATTTGTACACGCCGTAATTTGGGCCTTGGAACTATGAAACCACCGAATTCTATCAGTGGAATATAAGAGTATCTTCATACAGTTTACTCTTATATTCCACTGATAGAATTCGGTGGTTTCATAGTTCCAAGGCCCAAATTACGGCGTGTACAAATGGCTACCCATATCGTTGTCCTTATGTCCGATCGGCCTGCTGATTTTTCTTGTTTTTTTTCAGTTACTTTTGCGAAGTCAACAGCTATAGAGCTTCTTTCGCCAGGCACGTAAACCCAACGTAAGAGCTTATAGTTTGTACTAAGCTCCCTTCATTCGTCACCTTCAAGCAGCCATAAAGTTACTGTACAATTGCATTACACAAATACTCTGCTAGTTAATACCTTAAAGTTTTCTAGGCGTCATTCCCGATTTATTAATTCCGCCTTCCAGTATCTTCGCTGGAAACGCAACCTATTTTAAAATCCTCGTTGGAAACTTCCCTGTATCCCACTGATCCTGCCTGTGAAAATGGTGTGTCCAAAATATCAGAAAGATATTATTATTATTATCTTATTGCAAACCACCCCAAATCATGGTACAGTCATTTTTAAGTGCAAATCGTTGGAACACTTTAAGACTGAGTTCTACCTTCAAACCGATGCTTACACTTATTCTTCTCAAGATATTTTTCACTCGTCTTTTAATCTTGTTAACTGTTTCCTCGTAACTGTGGTTGCTTTTATGTATGTATGTGTTTTATTTACTTAATACGTCCAGCTTATCTCCATTAAACATAAGTAGTTAGTCGTGCCTCTTCAAATGGAGTTGCCTCACCAACCTTTTTAACTTTAATTTTCATTTTCGCCTTTTATTTTCACATCTATTTGTGTATGTGACCACATGAAATAAGTGGTCTAAATCAACCAGTATCTCACATTTCGATGCCACTGTTGTAGTTATTCTTCTAATCAAAAGTCAGACTGTAGATGGATTTTCTACCGTAGCAGTTCAATTTTTTCCAGTAGGTGTAAGTCGAACGCACCCCTCTCCTAGTCCAATATCAGAACACAATAATTCTCCACCAAATGCACTTTAGGATAAGCAGTCTAAAGAAAGACACAAATTCTTTATGAGAGGAAAGTGACACTAAATACAGTATTAAAAGTTACTCATTTGAGGGTAAAAAGCTACTCCAGTCGAATGTCACTACTTATACACAAAACCGTACAGAAAATAGGTTTTCTTTAACAAAACTTACCAAGAAATTCTAGGGATAATGAAAATGTCCCTCCATTCTTTTTTCACACAACTTACAATGTAGTTAGTTGCAATTAAAATTAGATCAGTCCATCCATTATATCTGCTATTAGAAGTTATTATTATTATTATCATTACATGCAACTGAAATATGTACAGTTTGAAATAATTAATTAGAAATCTCTCCACCAATAGCACCTTTCGGACTGATAAACTGATTATGATACTCATCACCACAGCAATGGTTGGCCTCCGAAATCTACCGTAGACATAATTAACTATAAGCTGATAAACATAATATGGTCGTATCCAATTTCAAGAGAAAAAGAGAATCATTTCCGAAGATTTAAAAGGTCTTGACAATCTTGGTTCGTGTTTAGTATAGAGGGAAGCCTATGTATACTCTACACTTACAACTTTACGAAATATAAGTTTGCGGCGAGAATAATATATTTCCTCGTTTTGCCTCATCAAATACGAAAGCAAGTTAACGCACCAGAGCTTCATATTTTGAGCTGAAGTTGATGGGCTGTGATTGGTGTGTAGTAACTGGATTTCATCTACATGAACATCAGACAGGTTATCCTTAAATGGCAGTATCCGGTAATTACTTCAGAAACTCTGACCATCACTTCTGTAATAAACACTAGCATGATTTTTAAGAGAAAATAAATGTGAATTTTTTTTGCTTTTAGAGGCTTTTTTTTCTTTGTGGTTATGGAAAACTAACCCTTAGACATCACTTCATATTGAAGTACGTTAGATAGTTTCCATTAAGTTTTTCAAAGCAGCCACTTTTTTTTATCTTTTTTCTGTCAAACCGAAAGCAAAGTTTAAGTATTTTTTAGTGCTAGGTGGAGGAAAAACTAAAGATTCCTTACCTACTATCATTGAAATTTTTGTTTTGTTTTACCTGTGCAATTTAATGTGCGACCTTGAATTGCTATGTTCAATGTGTCTGTGTTTCATTTAAATTCAACATAATAAATGGGACTTTCTAATTTTCTTCACAGTTGATTGATGATGAAAAAAAGGCCTGAACCAATATCATGTCCTGTTTGTTCTAAGAGCGTTTATTTTGCAGAGGAAGTTAGGGCTATGGGTCGTGCATTTCATAAACAATGCTTTAAATGCTGTGAGTATATGATGTATGGCTGACCTTTATTATAGGTCAGTGTTCTAAAAGTTTGGACAGCTTTACTGCGAACGACCACAAGGGTTCTTTGTACTGCAAAAGTTGCTATGCAAAGAACTATGGACCAAACATATATGGCTTTTCAACTAATGGTACGTTAGGTAGGAGTACGTATGATCTTCGGTAAGTGGATTTTTTATTTTCAATTACACTGGTATTTAAATATTTGAACTTTGACTTAGGTTTCAAATATAAGTTACTTCTGATAACGACCATTATTGACATAATTCAAATCTTGATCTTCTGCTTTAAGTTACTTCGCTTTCGTAGTAGGCTGATTCATAAATATGTTATTACATTCACTTTATTCATTAATTTAGTAAATAAAAACCTACATTGTTGTTTAATGCAAACTCACATTTGTATGATATTGTGTCTTGTGAGGGTTTTGAAAAATAGTCTGATTACTTTAACGTCAGTCAGTCAGATGCAACGTTTAACTTCGTACGTAAGTAGGTTTCTAAAATATCTCAATAATTAAACGTTTTTTATTTTGCTGACCCACTGTTCTTATGACAGAATTAAATGGCAATACAAAGCTAAAAACCAGAGAAATAAACTATGCAATTCAAAGGAACTTGAATGTCGAAATAAGCAATTGTAAAGCTCACCATTTGAAAAGTCAATATTAATATTATTCAGTACATACCTTACAAGTAATGTGCTCAAAGCATATGGATCTTTGATACTAGTATTATGTATCATTCATCATCTGTCTGTTTATGTCATCATGGTGATCAATAATTAATATGCCTAGTGTATATACTTTAGAATCATGTAATTTAAACTGATAGTTTGTTGGTAGCATTTTGAAAAGTTTATGGAGTGAATAAATGATTTATTGCAAAGTTTCAGTGTGAATAGTTTGACATAACCTCAGACTAATATGGCTAACATATCACTGAATCTTGAAACAAATAAGTAAGGTGACCACTCCAGGTCTTCCTAATTAGTAACCAATCAACATTTCAAACTTTCTCGTCTTGAGTTTATAGCTTTCCTATAACATTCACTTGTTATAAACTAAAAAAAACCGTGTTTACAAGAACGCTCACACAGAATTATTTGGGAAAAACTTAAATTTGATACCTCAAAATAGAATTATTTTTGTTAAGATTGTTAATATATTTATAATTCAAAGATAATAGAGCATTTACAAATGCATGTAAATTTAAGGTTTTATAAATTGCTGACAGAAATGACGTCCACGCACTGCTTATAGCACTAATCACTTGCAAACTTAGTTCTCATAATCCATAGTCATGTCATTTTGATAATTATGTCATCACAGTGATTATATATGATCACAATTAGATTGATTCTATTTTACTAAATTGGATATGAAAGATTTCACTTGCCGCAAGATGTTAGTAATCGATGGTTTGATACCCTGAATGACATGGCTCCAAACCGTTTGCAATGGCTCAAGTGCATCCATTCGTTGTGCTCTCTCAAATCCTAAACTTTTTAATTCTTCATCACTTTATCTTTATCTTTTTAAGTCTATTTGACTAGATTCTACTTCTTGAATAATATTTTCTAATTCTCATTTCTCCAACTACTGATAATACCTTTACCAATCGGGTGCTAGGTAAGAATGGCAGATCAATAGACGCAGTAGTGACACTTCATCAGTTGAGGTGTTTGGGAAATGAGTTGCGTATGCCCAACCGCCAACTGCCTCGTCGAGCTTTGTTTTGTAGTGTAGGAATAGGTTGGAAGAAAGTTAGGGGCGGCCAAACCAAAACATGGCAGAAATCCATGAAGTCATTGACAAGTGGACTTAGCCATGTCGGTAATTGTAGGCTACCTGGTTGCGGTCCGTGAGATGATAATACTCGATGGTTAAAGACCTTGAACAACGACATGACTCAAAATCGTTTACAATCGCGCCCGTCCATTTATTCTTTGTGCTCTCTCAAATCCTAATCTTCTGGATTCTTCAACCCCTCTAGTTTTGACTTTCTAAACTTTTCTCACTGAATCATACTTCTTCAATAATATCTTCTAATCCTAACCTCTCCAATTACTCCTAATACCTTTACTACCTCTACTATTACTATTGGATTTGAATTGACAATTATATCTCTGTGCTAATGTGGTATGGCAACATGAACTGATGTACTTACGTACGACGTTCTACGTTGCAACTGACTGACTGACTGACTGAATACCTTTATCACCTCTACTACTACGGGATTCGCATTGACAATTACGTCTCTGTTCTAATGTGGTATGGCAACATGAACTGATGTACGTACGTACGAAGTCCTACGTTGCTGTTGATTGATTGATTGGTTGATTGATCGGATATGAAGGAGTGATTGAGATGTAATTGATACACAAAGTCAAAGGAATAGTTTATCTACTGTGTAAATAGCAGTTAGATGACTATTTTTTTAAAGCTTTAATGAAAAAACAATAGTAATCAGCTTGATTTACTTGTAGGTTATTAAATTACAATATCCAATTACCATGATTCTCATCAACAACTAATGAATATGATTTCATGTTTTATTAAAAAGGAAATGTTTTCTAAATTGCAGAACAGTAGAGTTAAAATAGTTGCAACTTTGTTCATTTTCTTTAAGTTTAAGCATAAGGAACACAGGAATTTTCAGAGTAGTATGAATCTCGTTTATTTATCAAACATTTTGTTTAATTCGATGGGAAATATTGAAAAACTGACTGTTAAATAATTAGTTTAAAGTAGTTGATATGAAACATTGCTCATTCTACGTTTCTTGTTAGTGCATATTCTGCAGCAAGATATTTATGCAATTTTGAGGAAATTGATAATCCATGTCAAATTCTCAAATTCGACGATTTTTAAAGAGGTTCTTAGTTGTGCAAACTGTAGAGGATACGATAAATTGTGGCTTAGAGTTTTTTCTTTCGAAAGCTGGATGTTTAGACAAGGCACTTACCTTTTATCTTAATGAGAAATAAAAACAACACTAACAAGTTCGGTTAATTTAGACGTCTGACAATAGTTGTGTTCCTGGACCTGAAAGCGGCATTTGACTCAGTGGATCGTCAGGTTCTGTGGCAGTGTCTGTCATTGAAAGGTGTACCAAAGAAGTACATTAACCTTATACAAGCTCTCTACTCGAACACCACTGGTCGAGTGAGAGCTTATGGCGAACAGTCATCGGAATTGTGTACATCAATTGGTGTCCGTCAGGGATTTCCACTCTCTCCTTTCTTGTTTAACTCTGTTGTAGACACTCTCTTAGAGTTAACATTAAGCTCGTCAGATTTTTTAGGGGTTGACCTTCTACCAGGAAAATCGCTTACTGACAAGAATATGCCGATGATACCTGAACTAGTGAAAGGGAGTGAAGTAGTCGAGCGTGTAGATCACTTCACTTATCTGGGTAGTCTCATCAGCGCTGATAGCCTGGCGACTGACGAAATCTCAGCTCGAGTGCAGAAGGCTCAGTTGGCTTTTGCCAAACTACGTCACTTATGACGTAGGCGAGATATCCGTTTGCTGACTAAAGGACGAGTGTACTACGCAGTAGTTCGCTCCGTCTTACTTTATGGCTGTGAAACATGGCCAGTGAGAGTAGAAGATATTCGTAGGTTACTGGTTTTCGATCCTAGGTGTTTAAGAAGCATTCCTCGAATATCCTGGGACAACCGAGTAAGCAATGCTGTCGTTAGGAAACGGGTGCTAGGTAAGAATGGCAGATCAATAGATGAATTAATGAAACTTCATCAGTTGAGGTGGTTGGGACATGTGTTACGTATGCCTAACCACCGACTGCCTCGACGAACTTTGTTTTGTAGTGTAGGAGTAGGTTGGAAGAAAGCTGGAGACGGCCAGACCAAAACATGGAGCAAATCCATGAAGTCACTGACAAGTGAACTGAGTCATGTTGGTAGATGTAGACTATCTGGTTGGAGTCCGCGAGACGAAAGTCACCAATGGTTAGAGACCTTGAACGACATGGCTCAAAATCGTTTGCAATGGCGCAAGTGCATCCATTCTTTGTGTTCTCTCAAATCCTAATCTTCTGGATTCGTCAACACCTCTACCTTTGTCTTTCTAACCTTAATTCACTGAATTTTACTTCTTGAATAATATCTTCAAACCACCCTAGTCTTCTTCATTAGCATTAATACCTATACACTATCTTTATCACTATGGGATTTGATTTGACATTTGCATCTTTGTGTGCTAATGTGGTATGGCAACATGAACTTATATACATACGTACGAAGTTGTACGTTGCAACTGACGGACTGACTGTGTTTTCTGTTGTAACCCAAGTTGGTGCTAAACTATCTTCTGTCACTTCTCTTCTAATCTCCAAAATAGTCCAAACACACGGTGCTTTTGACCTCCTGAAACTCTTGTCTTCAACTGTTGATTATGCCAACCTCCATACAACAACGTCCCGCTACATACACTACATTATAAACAGTCTTGTAAAATGGCATCCGCCATCTTGTTTTTTAAAATTAATAACTTCTACACGTCTTTACAGATCATCCTTTCATATATAATGTATTACTCTTCTATCTCCATTGTTTCTTTTCTCGCTCGTTATTTCTACAGAGATTGTACCAAAGTGAATGGTTATACACATTCCCACAGTCCTATGATAAAGTAAGTCTTCTTCTCTCTTATATTGGTTGGTGGTGTTGTTGTGATTTGTTAAAAATCAATTGAACATTGAACATTCACTGTTTATTTTGTTTGTTTGTCTTTGTTATTGATAATATTCTAGTCAATCACATGATCATCATCATCATCAACAACAAGAACGTTCATCAAATTGGGAAACTAGTGGAAATTATATTCCACGTACTAATAATCGTACACGATGGTCTAGTGGAAATTATGGTTCAGCATCAAATCGTTGTGCAAATTGTCCTGATATTGTTTATGCTAATGAAAGAGTTGATGCAGTAGGGAAAGTATTTCATCGTTTATGTTTTAAATGTACCGATTGTCAACGTCTTCTTGATCGTGGTACAGCATGTGATCATAATCGTGAAGTGTTTTGTCAAAGTAAGTTATCAATCAGTTTTGATTGGTTGGTAATTTTATTTCATTTCAAGATTGTTAACTATATGTCCACCTTAGCCAGTGATGTACATATACATACTGTCAATGCTGAATAATTGAATAGTAGAAGCGTTTCTCTATCGAGATTTCTTACTGGTTAGCCACAGCCACTGTGACCACCTTGACGTGGTGGTCGGGCTTGCTTATCGTGATGACCCAAACGAGCTATATTGGATGGAACATATGTTCCTCAAGGTTCTACCATGCCAGACAGGTCGATTGGAGAACGATGAGGCTAAATGCAGCTAATCAAGGTGTGAGGGCGAAGTCGTACTGCTGACTGACTGCAGAGGGGTGTGACAGCAGTAAGGTGTTTCCCTCGGACAACCAGCATCTGCAACGATGCTGCCTTCTTACAAAGAAGGAAAGGTTAGAAAATGTCGGCCCTAAAAATGTCACACCTCACTCTACTTCAAGGATTTCCGTCTCCTGTGGTAAGGGTGCCCACTAAGGGCTTTTAAACAAGAACGGAGCAAATACTCAAAAAACGTTTCATAAAAAGGCCGTGCGTGACCGGCCTCAAGCAGTTGTCCCCTGGGCTCTGCGGTCACGCACCCAGGTCTCTAAGATCGACACTAATCTACCTTCTTTTTCAGGTCCCTCAAGAAACAACCTTCCATGGTGAGGGCAGCCGGGAAGTGACAACCGCCCTCATACCCGTAACAGCACACGAGACCGAATCGGTCAAATTCAAATCATTCCTGACAGCCACTGTAGTATATAAAAGAGACTTTATACTCTCTGTATTATTCAAACCCACTCATCGATCAATGTCATACTAAATTAGTCAGCTAGTCAGTTAAAATGTAGAACGACACACGTGTAGGATCCAAACTGAGGTTTGGATTGAGGAGTAACTGTCCAGGTAGCTTAGACACGCATCTTGCCCAGTTGAAATCCAAAACCTCAGTTTGAATCTTACAGTTCTAAACAATATTATTAGCACAGCTATTCCACAATAATTGTTTAACCATTCAAATAAATGATATTCTATCCCTCTTCGTGGATAGATCAGATTCGTTCGACAGATAATATTTAGTTGCTTTATAACACAGAATGTTTCCGATTCTGGGAGAGTGCTTCAATTCACAATCAAAATGCACAGTTCTAGTCTGTACAAGCAACACAATCAAAAGAGGAACAAATCAATATGGCTGTCGCCATGACTAAGTATCAGCTTAAACAACATTATGCAGTTCAGAAAGAAACATTAAAACTCAGTAAAGACCAATGAAATAGAAACTATGATCAAAAATACGAATATTATCATCTCCGAAATGGAATCGAACAGATTAACAAAATGTACAACTGAAGGGGAATCAATAAGGACATATTACAAATGTATACACAGGAGGTATTTTCACAAACAAAGCCTTCAAAATGGATCTTACAATAAGTACGTACTTACGTACATCAGTTCAAGTTGCCATACCACATTAGCACACAGAACGGTGGGGTTGTCAATTGAAATTCCATAGTAGCAGAAGTATTAGCAGTAATCGAGAAGATTATGGTTCGAAGATATGATTCAAGAAGTATAATCCAGTGAAATAAACTTAAAAATAGAAAGAGAAAGGTGATGAGGAATGCAAGATGATTAGGATTTGAGAGAAGACAAAGAATGGATGCATCGGCTCCATTGCAAACGATTTAGAGGCACATCTTTAACGGTCTCTAACCATCAGTTACTGTCATCTCGCGGACCCCAACCAGATAGTCTACACCTACTAACGTCCAGTTATCAGTGACTTCATGGATTTGTGCCATATTTTAGTCTGACCGCTCTTGGCTTTCTTTCAACCTACTCCCATACCAGGCATCATATCTCGTCAACGCAGTCAGTGGTTGGGCCTTCGTAAAACTAGTCCCAACCACCTCAACTGATGAAGGCTCACTACTTCATCAATTGATCTGCCATCACTATTCGGTACGGTTTTCATAACCTCATCATTGCTTACTTGATTGTCCCATGATAAACGAAGAATGCATCGGAGATACCTATGATCGGAAACCAGTAACCTACGAATATCCTCTACTCTTATTGGCCATGTTTAACACCCATTTAGTAGGACAGAGTGAAAGGCTACTCTGTAGACTCATCCTTCTTTGTTCCGCAGACAAATATCTTGACTAGGCCATAAATGCCACAAGTTGATAAAAGCCTGTCAAGCCTTCAGTATCCATGACGAGATCTCGTCCGACTCCAGGCACAGTCAACACACTCTACTACTTCACTGCTTATCATCACACTAGTTCAGGTGTTGATACAAGTCAACCCTTAAAAAAAACTCGTCACACTCTTAGATTAATCGGCAAATCATGTTTCATTGTGATTTAACCTCGTTTAAAAGGATCGGATCATTTAAAAAATAAAACAGTTAGTTTAAATGCGACTTTTAAAACATTCGGTCAGTTGGTAAATTTTTTTAACAAAGGAAATAGAGATAAAAAGTTTTTTTTTATCATAAATTAAAACTCTATATTGGATGTATACTTGTTGAGAATGATCGATTTTTTTTCTGATTGTGATGATAAAAATTTGATTAGCTAACCTTATTTAATTACTTGGTCAGAAATGTTTTTACGTCAGTTGGGCTCTGATCATAGTTACGTTAACTTCGTACGTAAGTACATCAGTTCATGTTGCCATACCACATCAGCAAGCACAGAGATATAATTGTCAATTCAAATCCAATCGTAGTAGAAGAGGTAGTAAAGGTATTAGAAGTAATCGGAGAGGTTAGGATGAGAAGATATTATTCAAGAAGTATGATTCAGTGAGAAAAGTTTAGGAAGTCAAAACCAGAGAGGTTGAAGAAAGAGTGCATATAGTAAACTGATGAGGTTCAAAAAACACAGCCATGAATGATTTTTAGCCTCATTCTTAATTAGTCAGAAAATAACATTTGTCAATGGTATCCTTAACATGAATTTCATTGAAATCGTGAATTGATCAATGTTAAACCATCACACGACAAGTCCTGGAACACAGACACACATTTAGGCGTCCTACAATAGTTGTCTTCCTGGACCTAAAAGCGGCATTTGACTCAGTGGATCGTGAGGTTCTGTGGCAGTGTCTGTCATTGAAAGGTGTACCAAAGAAGTACATTAACCTTATACAAGCTCTCTACTCGAACACCACTGGTCGGGTGAGAGCATATGGCGAACTGTCATCGGAATTCTCTACATCAAGTGGTGTCCGTCAGGGCTGTCCACTCTCTCCATTCTTGTTTAACTTTGTCGTAGACATCCTCTTAGAGTTAACATTAAGCTCGTCAGATTTTTCAGGGGTTGACCTTCTACCAGGAAAGTCGCTTACTGATCTAGAATATGCCGATGACATAGTTCTATTCGGTGAAGACGCTGACAAAATGCAGAGTCTTCTGACTACCATAAGCAACAATGCGAGCATGTTCGGGATGCGGTTTTCCACCTCGAAATGCAAAATGTTGCTTCAAGACTGGGTTGCATCGGCACCTGAACTAGTGATAGGGAGTGAAGTAGTCGAGCGTGTAGACCGCTTCACTTATCTTGGGAGTCTCATCAGTGCTGATGGCCTGGTGACTGACGAAATCTCAGCTCGGATACAGAAAGCTCGATTGGCTTTTGCCAACCTGCGTCACTTATGGCGTAGGCGAGATATCCGTTTGCTGACTAAAGGACGAGTGTACTGCGCAGCAGTTCGTTCCGTCCTACTTTATGGCTGTGAAACATGGCCGTTAAGAGTAGAAGATGTTCGTAGGTTACTAGTATTCGATCATAGATGTCTCAGAAGCATTGCTCGTGTATCATGGGACAACCGAGTAAGCAATGCTGTCGTTAGGAAACGAGTTCTAGGTAGGGATGGCAAATCAATAGATGAAGTGGTGAAACTTCATCAGTTGAGGTGGTTGGGACATGTGTTACGTATGCCTAACCACCGACTGCCTCGACGAGCTATGTTTTGTAGTGTAGGAGTAGGTTGGAAGAAAGTTAGGGGCGGCCAAACCAAAACATGGCAGAAATCCATTGAAGTTCCACTGACAAGTGGAATGAGTCACGTTGGCAGATGTAGGCTACTTGGTTGGGGTCCGAGAGACGAAAGTAACCGATTGTTAGAGACCTTGAACGACATGACTCAGAATCGTTTGCAATGGCGCAGGTGCATCCACTTTGTGTTTTATGAAATTCTAACCTTCTGCATTCCTCATAATCTCTAATTTTCCCCTTCTAAAGTTATCTCACTGAATTATACTTCTCGAATCATATCTTCGCTCCCTAATCTTCTCCATTACTACTAATACTTCTATTATTGCTATCACTGTTGGATTTGAACTGACAGTTGCGTTTCTGTGCTGATAGGGCGTGGGAACCTGAACTGATGTACGTACGTTCGAAGTTCTGCGTTGTATCTGTCTGTCTGTTAAACCATCATTAGCAACATGTAAGCATTGAATGGCCAATTTTTTTCCTCAGTATGAGACTCACCAACAGTGCGCATTCACAATCCCCACACCCATGACCTTCGGTATCGCTCACGAACGCTTAACCTCTTGACCAATGAGCCAACATCCAATTGTGTTAATGTCTAACTTTAGACAATCCACAATATTTCTCTACCACATTCATTGTCTTCGGAAGCTAACTGCCTCACATCGAACAGGGTTGAACTTTGCATGAATACCGATTGTCTGTTTCTTTATGCCCTTAAAACGGTTAGGATTTGAGGTTGAGAGTGATTGATTGTTTTCACCACAATATAACACCAACTATACTACTATACACCAATGCTTTGTAGTCATGGATCGATGCGTTCGACACACGAAATGCTCGTCCAATGCTTCTAGCTTTTCAATGATAGATAGTCTTAGATATTGATCAGTTCATGATATTTTGAATTTTTTGTAAATAAGCCGAAATTTGAAATCATTAATCAATCATCATTGTTAGACCACCATTAG